GAAGACACATTATTGCGTAGTCATATCTGAGGCTTGGATCTATGGAGAGTCTCACTCCACTGTCCTCTAGCTTTCCCTTATAAACCAAAATGGCTTACAAATGTCATCCACAATAGTCCAATAAAGATTAGGAACAAAACACTGTCCTTACATTGATGAGATAAGAAAGATTTAACTGCAGAATGCAGTGTACAAGAACAGTTCATAAGGCTTGTTCTCAAATGAGAAAAATAGAATTCAAATTATATTTATGTGTGGCTAGAATTTAATTGAGATGATCAGTTTATTTTCTACATAATGTTTGATCAGATGCCTGTACTACAGAGCTAGATAAGAAGAAAAGGAAAAAAAGAAAAACATTCTATCAGGAGAAATCAAGAAGACCCGTTATCTACAGAGTGTGCAAAATATGTCAGGAAATAATTCTACCCTGAGCACTGAGAATGCTCAGTTAATAAAAAAAGATCAGCCACTCGCTAAGAGAAAATAATTGTCTGTATCTATATTTTTCAAAGCAAAAAGGCAGCCACATCTTACACTAAATAGGACACATTAAAATAAGCTTTAATAATCTTTATGCAGAAGGAAACTAATCCATTTTCAGATCATACGATCCACAGCAATAAAAGGAAATCATCAAACTAAAAACAATTTTAGAAATGGCTGCAGACTCTCATTTAATTAACATGCAACAGATCATATATTTATGAGGAAGTCAAAATATTTAGGAAGCCTATAATCCTGTAAGCCTTAATGTGGTATAAAAACAACAAATAAATGCAAAGTGTTACTGTTATACATGCCTGCTTGATCAATGGTTTTCACATATTGATCTATAAATGGAGTTGACAGTCTGTGTTGGCTGCACATTTTCCAAGCAGCGCTATTTTTGCAGAAAACCAATACGGGCAATTACCTTTGTTTGAGATGCCAAGTCTTATCAATTCAATGTGATTTAGTGTCATTTTAATTAAATATCAGGATCCACTTCAGGACAATTTATACAAACAAAGCCTCAAACCTAACTATAAGCTTGATTGGAAGTAAACATGGACAAGTCCTGCAGTCTCATAATATTTCTCAAAAACTCTGCTAAACAGAAGGCTTATATTTTTAGTAGCAATTTTTATGTCTGCCTTTTTGGCTAGCCACAACTTTGGCAAGTATCCTATAATCACAGAAGTAAGAAACAAAAGAAAATTGTTTCCTCTTTTTCTTTATAATATATTAAAAAAGAAAAATGAACATGCACAGTCTGTTAATGGAAGCGGAAGGAGTCGTGTATGTTAGCATTTAGGAATGGCTCGACCTAAGTCCTTATCCTAACAGTAATAAAAAGATATTTCCCTGTCCATGAGGGCCATGAATAAAGTATTGCACTTCTGTGGCGTTTACAAGATGGAAATGGTGCATATTCATACACGTGGCTGCTTAAGACACCAGCATTAAATGCCGAAACTGCTCCTGTCTGAAAATCCTAGGTCTGCAATTTCCCTGATTTGGGCTATTTAAACTCTTCATTAATATCTATTCTAAACTGTCTAGTAGGCTCGAGCTTCCCTCTTATAAATAACATCAAAGCCGCATTAAACCTTTTGCAGTAGCTATTTGCTGGATTGCACATTAGCCTTTCAGCCCTTAAAGAGGCACACTTCACTTGCCCCCCATTTACGCTCACTAAGCTGTCTGCTTCTGGGTTTCGCACATTCGGGCAAATAAGCAGTCCACCTTCAAGAGGTCTCACTCCGGTGCTCAGGATGAGACAACAAATCACTGAGACCAAAGACCGTTCCTTCCCCACCAAGCGGAGGTCTCCAGATCTCTCTTACAGAGAGGCAATTTTCTGCTAACCACACCCTCCCATGTCCAAACTTCCCACCTCTCCAACAACTGGCCAGGTAGCAAAGTGGTCTTTTCAGATTTTGAAAAGGCATTGATCTTATTAACTACCTAAAAAATGATCATTTGGTGTTTAAAGAAAACGATGCACACAGCCAATGAAATACTGATGGAGGATTAATGCCTGTTTTAACGGAATGCTTCCGTGCAGCCCTTAGGTAATGAAAACTTTAACGTAATAAGTGAATTCACCTGTGTTTGCATAGCACAGGGTCGAATAAATGTTTATATTGGCATTTCATACTGCTCCTCTGTTTAGGATACCAAGAATATAGGCTCTTCTGACATATCCAGGAGAGTTTTATATGGTGTTCCAAGTTCACAGTCATGTTAGACATATTTTTAACTGAACACAATAATAAAGAGAATTTTATGAATTAATGACAAAATTATACAATTGATTGGACCCAAGAACCTTTTATCATTTTCTGTAATAAGTTAAATCTTTGCGAATGTAATATCAGATTCTTATGCTATATACTTCAATAAGTCCATATTAGATTTGCATGATAGTTATGCCAGGGGACACGTAGTATAATATATGCCACATACATTAAATACGATGCATAACGTATATATGTGTGTCTCTAAGTAGTCCTAACTTTTTTTCTGTACAGATTAAATGTAAGTGTCTCTGTTGCGACAAACCATTCTGCATGTGACACGTGCACACATTTTTAGAATACATCTCCTCCCACCTCTCCTAAGTTGAAGATCTCCCCCCTTGACCTCACCCCCACCTCCAACTTCTGAAAAATCAAGTTCTTAGTTTAGCTTGAGCAGATATCTTTAACAGGCTTGTTTGAATAAATATGCCAAAATACTTTACATTCTGTCAGTATCTAGTCAGAAAATTGTGCATGGAAAAAAGAGATGAAAAGAACCGAGACAGAAAGAAAATTAGTGCCATGGCAAGCTTTCAATACAGTATCTCTCAGCCAAGTTTTCTCAGTGAAATGACATATCCTCACTAAAATACCCCTTTTATATAATTATGCACTGAGCACACATAACCAAAAGTAACTTTTATTTTTGTTCCTTATCGAGGAATACATATTGCCCAGGCTAAGAATGCGGAAACAAAAGCTGGGATAATTATAGCTAATTTAACTTTGGAAAACTCTTCTCTAGCAGTCCAGCATATAACCCCCCAAACTAAAGTTATGTAACAAGGTAATATCAACAATGAGAAACTGCATGATAAAATCCTGCCCAAAAGTGAAAAATGCTAATTTTGTCTCATTTAGCAGCTGGATACAGAAATGCTCATTAGTTTTAAGAGGGTTAATCCTTTTAACTTTTGCATATTGATATGCCAATTATGCCTAATTGTACAAGAGGCATCAGTCAAGGTAATAGTGCATAAACACATGAAAGTTATTAAGTACATCCCAACATGTAATAAAGTAGGTGTTAATTGGTAGCTGAGTTCTGCGGGCTATTGAGGTGGATAATTCATTGAGAGATGGATCACTTGTAATTTCTCTCCATAATTCCTTTTGCAGTCTCATGCTGTGATGTTTTCATGCTTGTCAAAAACAACTGCGGCATAGTGCCTTTTGTTAAACACAGCCAATAAAATATTTTAGGCATCATTAAATATACTTAACTTTTAAACTTTTTCAAAGGTACAGTTCTTACTGCTAATACATTATAGAGATTCCAATAATTTACTCTAACCACTCTCTTAAGTTCATAGTTGAGGAACATTTTAGCTGGTTTAAAAGCAAAGTCAGGCTGCCAGTGTTGTGCCTCCCAGCAGACAATACTTTTAAATGAGAGAGTGAATAAAGAAAAACACATCTCTCCGGTAACTTATCTCAGGATGTATCTCCCACTCCCGACATATAATCACTGGCTTCCTCATGCTAAATCTGTCTATAATACCTGAAGAAAGCATGATTAAAACCATGTACTTCTCAAGCTCTTGAGATACTTTTAAATGAGAGAGTGAATAAAGAAAAACACATCTCTCCGGTAAATTATCTCAGGATGTATCTCCCATTCCCGACATATAATCACTGGCTTCCTTGTGCTAAATCTGTCTATAATACCTGAAGAAAGCATGATTAAAACCATGTACTTCTCAAGCTCTTGAGATGGTGGTGGGTTATTTCCGCGCACTTGAAATTTGAGTGAAAACAGAGAATAAATATAATCGGTAACATGCTACTCAGCAAGTTTATCTCATTTAATAACTCAGTTAGGGAGCTGAATATTTCATGGGCCCCTATGATATTAACAGAACACTCAATTAATAGCTCACATGTTTCTGCAGAGTGACTGGGACTCGCAGCCTGTCCCCAGCTAACCTATTTCCCGCTCTTGCTCTCAGTGTGAGAAACAAAATAGATCTGGGGTCCAAAAGAGTGGCTAACATTGCATAAATAATTTTGTAACATCCTATGGCCTCAGCTGCAAGTTACCACCATTATGGAAGAAAATTAACCAGAGGAGACTCATCGCAATCAGTGTGTTTAGTGGCTCAGGATGCGTGCAGGGGCAGGGACGCAATTGGCAGTAGAGTTCATCTCTAACTATTTTATTTCAGATCTTCCTAATGACACATTATCGAGACAAAATGGCTTCCTCTCCAAACCTTCCATCGCCACACCATTTAAGCTCATTCCAAATCAAATCGTAATTCCAATATTATATATTGTTGGGAGATTTTAAGAAAGAGATTTTCACATTTTTTTTAAAGATTTTTTTTCCCCCCTCAGTTCATTCTTAGCTAATTTTAGCCTCTGGCTTTTCAAAGTGATGTACTGTATTTGGAAGTACAAACACCACATGCTAGCATAACCTCATTATTTTTATAACACTGAAGCATGATAGTGGAGGCCCTTAAAATGAGTCAAAGGTGCTCTTCAGTCTAGCTCCAAATCCACTTTATCACTCTGGATTAAGCCCAGCTCCACTCTCACAACTGGGGATATTATTATGACTATAAGTAGGCAAGATAAAATGCATTACAAAAACAGTTTTCTCATGCACATTAGGAAAACAAATAAAATAAAGCTAATTAGTTCTCTTTTTTTCTTCTTTTTTAACAAAATTCTGTATCTGGGAACATGGGGGTTTTAGGGTATTTGACTTACGGGTTCAATGACCTTCCCAACATCGGTGAGGATCATGGATTTACTTTGGCTCAGCCTGTCGTGGTGACTGTTGGCATTTTTGATTCTCATTTGCACAGCTCCAGTGCCTTGACGGGTGGAATTCAGTGTTTCCACAGAGGTATCAGAATTCGTAGATTTCTGCATATTGTAGCGTTATCCTGATAAAATATAAAAGCATTATGTTATTCTAAATATATCTTTTCCAAGAAAAACTTGGTGGGGTGCAGGTTCCTGTTCATCACTAAGGTACAAAAATGAAACAAACAATTTCTGCCTCTCTGAATAGTGGAGAAGGTAATTACTTTGTAGTTGTTTTTATCAACTAGGGCCTCTGTATGTGGCCAGTGCTATACATGCCAGAGGACTTCAAAGTTCATAGCCAGCACAGCCATGCTCGTGTCATTCCTAATTCCATTAAGGAATTCCTAATGGCAATATGATAGCCTTCCTTATGTAGAAATGCCAACTAAGCATCTTTAGGCTACATGCTGTTCACACTCACAACGTCACTGACGTTTTACCCACCTCATCCCACCCCACCTCTACACGTTACCACCCACAGCCTTTTTTGGTGACCAAAAACCTGCATATTTAAGTGAGTAGAATTGGCGTTAGGGCAAACTAGGCTGGCCCCACTGACTATGAAATATGTTGGCTTAGCCTTCTTTGCCTGGTGCTCAGCCTTAGCCCCAACCCCCACTCACAATACCCAAGGAGGGAAAGTAAAGGTCCTTTGTCCGCTGCCATCTGCCAACTGAACTAGATTCAGTAGCTTTGCTGGACATAATGTTGATGAAGAATATGAAGAAAGAGAACTCAACTGTTGCAGCATCCACGGGCAGGCTAGGAGGGCTTTAGTTGCTTCCCCAAATCCGTAATCCTTTTCAATGGCCCCTCTCCACAAGTCCCTCCAAGGAACATATCATCGCATTTAAAAGAGAACATGTGCAATGCAAACACAGCTTCTAAGCTTCTAGAAACAGACCCCCTTGTGGCTTGATTGTTCTCTCCCTGTCTCACCTGTAGACATTCCTGGGCACATTGCACACGTTCTCTTAAACTGTCATCAGTTACAGAAGCCAAGATAATCCAAAAGAAGGATTGTATTTTAGGGAGCTAACTTTATTAGTACCCCTGTGGCTGTTGGACAGACAATGGGGCTAACTGGCATCATGGTAATGTTCAAGCTAAGTGAACACTAAGACGGTTAGAAAAGGATGAAAACATTTTAGTAGGAGGCAAAGTGTTACCTCATAACTGATACCAGTAATGCAATTGAGTGATAACTTAGAAAAGAAGTTAATATTTGCTGAGCATTCACTATGCGCCAGGCAATGCACTTAGTGATTTAATTCTTCAAAACTCCTATGAGATAGACATTAAACTCATACTTTTCTAGAAGAGAAACATAAAGATCATAGAGACTAATAATTTTCTCAAGAATAATGGACAGAAAAAGTGGAGGGCCTGTATTTTGTTCCAAATAAAAAAGACCCATACTGGTGAATAGACACATTCTAATTAATCTATACCATGAAATATTACTCAGCAATAGAAAGAATGGACTATTGATGCATGCAACCACATGGATGAATTGCAAATTGCTGAATGAAAGAGGCCAGGCCAAAAAAGTACCTATGGAGTACTTATGATTTCATTTATATAATATTCTAGAAAATGCAAGCTAGTATTTAATTATAGAAAGCTGATCAGTGATTGCCTAAAGATGGTGTGAAGGGAAAAATGGATTATGGTGATTACAAGGAAACTTTTAAAGCTGGTGGATATGTTTGTTAGCTTGATTGCTGTGATGGTTTAACAATTGTATGCATATATTAAAAATCAAATTGTTTAAGTACTTGCACTATTGTATTTCAGTTATACCTCATAAAGATGTTTACAGGAAAGTTGTTTTGAAAATTTCTTAACTAAATTAATTAAATTGACTTAAGTTTCTTAATTCTTTATTTTGTTCATACTCCCATTTTTATGCTTCTACATGAGTGATATATTATAAAAACTCATCTAGTTGAGAATAAAAGAACTATTTCAATAAGATTTGAAATAAAAATTTCAAGTGATTAAAAAAGAAAATCTCATCTCCACTCTTCCATAGGAATCTAATAACAGCTGCTTTGATGAGAAAGATTTTTCAATGTATCAAATCCGGCCACTAATATAGACATAGGGAATCTTACCACTACATCTAACTTGAATAATATATAGAGTACTATATAGACAACTGCTAAAAAAAAAAAAAAAAAAGTAAATGCATTTTCCATATACCCCAGTACAGGATAATAAGTTTTTGGTTTTATTTTGTGTGTTATTTGTTATTGAAACTACTATTTTCATAGCCAGTCAGAAAGTATTTCATAATAACAAAGCAAATCTATGAATCTTTGATATTTATGAGGATGCTACTATTAAAGTCATGAGTTTTCCCAAATAAATTATACTAAAATTTGTATGGAACCACAAAAGACCCTGAGTAGCCAAACCAATCTTGAGAAAGAAAAACAAAGCTGGAGGTATTACAACTGCAGATTTCAAAATGTACTACAAAGCTGTAGTAATCAAAACAGTATGATACTGGGACAAAAATAGACACATAGATCAGTAGAACAGGGTAGAAAGCCTAGAAATAAGCCCATGATTATATGGTCAACTAATCTATGACAAAGGAAGCAAGAATATACAATGGGGAAAGGACAGTTTCTTCAATAAAATGTTCTGCAAAAACTGGACAGCTCTGCGTAAAAGAATAAAACTGGACCATTTTCTAACACCATACACAAAAATAAACTGAAAATGGATTAAAGACCTAAATGTGAGACCTGAAGCCATAAGAATCCTAGAAGAGTACACAGGCAGTAATTTCTCTGACACTGACTGTAGGAACTTTTTTCTAGATATGTCTCTTCATGCAAGGGAAACAAAGGCAAAAATAAACTATTGGGACTACATCAAAATAAAAAGCTTCTGCACAGCAAAAGAAACCACCAACAAAACAAAAAGGCAACCTACTGGATGGGAGAAGACATGTGCCAATGACATACTTGATAAAGGATTAGTATCCAAGATGTATAAAGAACATATACAACTCAACACCAAAAAACAAACAATCCAATTAAAAAATGGGCACAGGACCTGAATAAACATTTTTCCAAAAAAGACATACATATGGCCAACAGACACATGAAAAGAAGCTCAACATCACTAATCATCAGAGAAATGCAAATCCAAACCACAATGAGATATAACCTCACACCCATCAGAATGGCTAAAGTAAAAAACACAAGAAGTAATACGTGTTGGTGAGTATATAGAGAAAAAAGACCCCTCATGCACTGTTGGCGGGAATGCAAACTGGTGCAGCCACTGTGAAAACAGTATGGGGTTCCTCAAAAACCTAAAAATAAGTACAGAAACACTGTATGATCCAGTAATTATACTACTGGGTGTTTATCCAAAGAAAATTCAAAAAGATATATGCACCCCTATGTTTACTGCAGCATTATTTATAATAGCCAAGATATGGAAGCAACCTAAATGTCCACTGAGAGATGAATAGATAAGGGAGATGTGGTATATATATATGCAATGGAATATTATGCAGCCCAAAAAGGCTGAGATCATGATATTTGCAACAACATGGATGAACCTTGAGAGTATTATGCTAAGTGGAATAAGTCAGACTGAGAAAGACAAATACCATATGTTCTTACTCATACATGGAGTCTAAAAAACAAAACACAAACAAATGGATAAACAACAACAAAAAGCAGAATCAGACCTATAAATACAGAGAAAAAATGGTTGGCAGAGAGAATGAGGGTGCAGAGATGGGCAAAATGGGTGAAGGGGAGTAGAAGATACAGTTCTCCAGTTATGGAATGAATAAGTCACAGGAATAAAAGGCACCAGAAGTGAATATAACCAATAATATTGTAATAGAGTTGTTTGTTGACAGTTGGTAGCTATACCTGTGGTGATCACAGTATAATGTCCAATCTTGTCAAATCACTATACTCAAATTTTTAAAAAGTTAAAAATTAAAGCACGAGATTTTTCAGGGTATGCTTTCGTGAATAAAGTTAGGGGAAGTGAAGGAACGAAAATTAAGGGATTGTCATTGTAATAGCGGCCTTGGACTCCTGGTGATTAGACTGGTTGCATAAAAAGGGGTCATGATGACTTCTTAGTGACAGCACTCTCTGTACTGATCACCTTTGTGGTCTTATACAAGTCTACAGACCTCTGGTTCATCACTGGAAAAAAAAATTGTTAGTGAGAGGGTCAGGCAAGAGGATTGCTGGGATCTGTAAGATCCTTTTTACTTTACTGATGCCCTCAAAGTCTGGGAGCTCAAAAGTATTACTGCAGATTTACAAAGCTCATCAATTTTAGGCAGATAACCAACAAGGTAAATGCTTTGGTAGCACTTGATCCCAAGGAATTTGGGTAGGGGTTGAGGTGAATCTATGATTAAACAAAGAAGTCCTTTAGAGAAATAGGGGTTCTCTTCCGAGTGCCTGTAAGCCTTGATCTTTCAAACTCAAAAGATGGTGTGTTTGTAATGTTGGTGAGGGAAAGCACTTAGGCTAAAGCCACTATCCTCTGACCAAGAGCATGAAGCCACAGTATTTACATAGCCTTGCCATGTGCCATTTACAGAACATGTTGCTTCCTCAGAGTCTGCACCAATTTCAATGTCAAATCAACATTTGCATTCTTGCAATGACTTTACAATCAACTGTTATTTGCCTAGTGAAGAGTTACTGCCAAAAGGCTGGATTACTTAAAAGGCCTCTCATCTGGCTTCTCCACCTATTTTCTTAGGGACAGGCTGCAGAAAAAAACTTTCAGAATCTTCCTTCTTCAGACATTTTTGTTAGGCTGACTTCTCCTTGACTGTGGTATTAAGGTGATTTCTCTCTCCTCACACTTTCTCTGCTCTAGCCATTACTTCCTTTCCCATCTGACCCCCATCTTCACATTTTGTTGATACCCCTAGGCGCTCTAGTTTTTCTCTTTATTCAGCCTCCCTTGTATTTTGCGTTCTACAAGGGCATTCACCTGATACTATTTCATAATTGTTCTTGTATTCGCAAATATTTGACAGTTTCTAACTTAGCAGAGCACTGTATTGCTCTGAGAAGAACACAGTATGACACAAAATCTCCTCTTAAAGACTTCCACCAGCATAAAGTAAATGATCCATTGAACATTTGTGGAGAGTCTCCTAAGTGGCATGCACTATATCAGAGGCTGGAGATTCTCTTTCATTTCTTTTTTTTTTTTTTTTTTTTAATATCAAGTGCCTTACAGGTCAGTGAAGGTGACAGAGAAACAAAGCAATAGTTAAATGAGAGTAGAGTTGTGTCCAGTTGGGGAGAGGAGCAATGGCATTAAACTCAGGTGGCACTGGGAGGGGGAGAGAGAGAAAGTCTGCAAAGGAAGATCAGTTGGTGTTGGTGCTAAGTCAGGACAGGTTAGGCATTTCAGACAAAGGGCTCAGCAATGCAAAAGTATGCAAGTAACTGTGAGATTGTAACGTGGATATTGAAATGTGCCATAAAGGAAAAACATGGTACCAAGAAAGCTCAAGGAAAAGAGAAATGATGGCTTTCATGAAGAAAACGGCATTTAACCTCAGTGTGGGTGAGTCTGTCATCTTGCTAGCCTCTCGGGGGGCTGAGGGACTGACTGAGAGCCCCTTCCTTCTAACCCAGCCAGGGCTGGAAGGGGCCGTTATTCTAGACACTCTGAGGGAGCGATGAAGGAAGAGGGGTTTCCTTGGCGTAATACACAAATGTGTTGTATAGATGAAATGAGTACAAGACAGGAGTGTGCAGGACCCCCACCCCCACCTGCAGGAGCCGGGGATGTGCAAGAGGAAGGAGAGAGGACAGAGGAGGAAGGAAATCTGAGGGGCTGAAATGACAGCTGTACTAATGGCTGTGGAACTTTTAACTGTTGCACTTGAGAGTTCAGAGATGATTATTTCCATCCGTCCAGTTAGGAGCCTCATACAAATCGGAGAAGGGTGTTCTAGGCCAAATTTTTCAAGATGCCTTTGGATTCCACTTATAGCCCTTTCTCTTCACCCTCTTTCAACTTCTCATTTTCTCCTTGCCTACATCCTAATACTCTGTTGTTCCTCTACCAGACACCCTATGATCCCTTTCATTTTTGGCTGCCAAAGTCCCCCACTGCAGCGCCTACTTAGGTCCCATCTCATCTACAGAGTCAGCATTTCTGAAATCCCACCATCCATTCTTCCTCACCTATCTCCTTTAAATATCCATCCTCTTGGTGAATCACTAAGACGTAGATGGGAGGGAAATACTTAAACTAATTCACATAATGGCATCAATGATTGGTCAGACTTCCCCTTAACTCTCAGGGAAGCATTTACCTAAATCTCAGAATCTCGAGGTACTCGCAGGAACATATGTATCAATTTCACGATGCACTGGTCAGAAAGGCGATGAAGACCAGCAATTTGTGTCTTTCCGTGTTATTATTCCAGGAACGTTCACAGGCCTTTGAAATCATTCTGTTGTTCCACCCCTGTTTTCTTCCCCCATTGACCCTCAACTTTTTCTATTTCACAGAGTAGATTGTAAAATCAGTAATATTTTTCTATGTTCACTTATATTCCACTTCTTTTGTTAACTATAAGTTATATTAAGTTTCCTATGATCTAGATGCTTATTCAGTATTCCTCTGGTTCTTCCTATAACATATCATCTACTCATTATGATTATCATAATCATCATTATTATCAAAATTTATTAGAGAAAACAGTGTTGCCTTATGCATTTACATTCTTACAGGAGGCACAGAGAGCCGTGGTGAATGACTAATGAAAATATTGAAGAATTAGTTCATTTTGCATGTGTCTAAATATCCATTGATTTCACAAAACTCTCCAAATAAATCTCCTTGAGTGAGAAATTGAAATGTAAATCACTTACGACTGGCTTCACCATTTCTCTGGACTTCCTGATTTTATTTGTACCAAACGAAGAGCAAAAGGAGCCTGTGATATTGCACGAGTTCCACTTTCAATACTGCTTGAAAAACAGGAAACTGTGATGAGAATGCACTTTTGAAGAGCCACACAAACTGGCTCCACTCAACAGATGAGGTTCAGTGGTATTCTGGGCCTGATTCTCCTGCTCTCACAGCCAATACCCAGAGAGGAGGGAATATGGTGATTCATCTAATCATAAATTTCATAGCTGCTCTGTCAATTATTTGTTGCACTCTGTTAATTACATTAAGGTTCAGCAGCTTGCCCTTTTGAGTTAGAAAGTATATTTCTGACATCTCTTTCCCATCTGTAGCATTAAAAATAAAAGTGCATGAAGAGTTATTTGGGCGAGGAGAAACTGAAGAGGCACAATGATACCGTCTCCATGCTTCAGAGCAGAGAAAAGTGAAGCTCAGCTAGACCCAGCGCCCTCCCCACAGCTCCACAGCCTGTTCAAAGTAGCTCCAGAATGGAACCCACGTCCCGCATCTCCAAACATCCCTGCTTTAGTCATAGACCCCCACACCAACTGGAAACCATATATGGAAAAATAAGGTAACAAGAATTCCAAAGAAGTCTGACAGAGATCAGGGAGGTCATATGATCATAGTACAGCCATATTAGGTATATATCATGTACATCTTTCCGTTTAAGTGTGTATAAATCTTCCTGTGTTTCAACAGAGACTTAATAAATGTTTATTAGATATATAAATGGAAAACAAATATAGAAACTAGTTAATGTCAGTGTACAGAGGCTAGCAAAACCAATTGAAAAATGTCTTTGATCAAGTCCATTTCTTATTTTAAAAAAAAATGTGTATAACTCACTTTGGCCAGTGTTTCTAAGGTCCGATGAACTATGGCTACTGTGTGATAAGTTGGGGCAGAACAGAAAAAAAAAAAAAAAAGAAGAAATGCTTTTCATGCCTTCTGAGGCCCATCCTTGGAGAATAATATGAGTTTTTGAAAATATGAAGAATACCTTATTTTCATGTCAGAATAAACCTTTTTTTCTTTCTTATAAATTAAATGAGTACGTTTAATGACCATCTTAGAATTTAGCAGGGTTATTTGTTCTGACGACAGAGAAAATCTTTCTGGAGTTTCAAATTCCTTTAGGTGCTTAATATTATTTTTCCAAATAGAAGGACTCTCTTGCCTGACATGAAGATATTGTGAAGAGAACTATCACAGACGCAAGCACTGAGTGTGTCCCCAGGGAATTCCCATCCCATGGGTGTTAGCCTCGACTTTTACCATGTGGCAAATGAGCTGTCTGGTCACCCCAACCGCCAAGAGCTCTGGTCCCCTCAACACACAGGAGCCCTCTGTGACAATCTGACTCCATTCGTTTCCCAGAATGTGTCGGAAGCGCTGTTTCTCCAGGTCTGCTAAGGAGCTCAAGGAAATGCCACAGATAAATATTGCTTCTGTGAGAAATTCATTTCTATCCCCTGGAAAGATCTTATGTTGATCTGTGGTAGAGCACGGTCTGTTTGTTTCCCTGTGGAAATGACTTGTGGCCATGGTAGCTCCAGGAACGTGGGGCACAGCCTTCGTGCTACACTTTCCTGACAGGTCAGTAATTAACTTGCATTGTTGTTGTTTGTCGACTCCACCACAGCAGCCATTTACTAAAATAACATTTTAATTTCAGTTTCCTTCCAGTTCACTTTCCTTTTTCTTTTTTTTCCCTGTGGCTTCTACATCTCTATTAAGTCTAATTTCCCCAGACCACTTCCATAAGCGGAGAGAGTGCAATAAAACTCAGTTTCAAAAAATGTCAAATATAATGAGAAAAGAACATCATAGTAAAGGAATTTGACCATAGCCATCCCATTGGGTAACATTGTCTTTGACTGGGCAGGTGTTATAGATAGGAAATGTGATAATAAGGCCTTGCATTTATTTAACTTAATTCAGGAAGCAGGGTGATAGTGTGCATTTACTGACAAAGTCTGGCAAGTCAGTTGCATGGATAAACTGTCATACAGTTATTGTCATTACCCGTGGGCATTCTAAATGGTGAAAATGACAAGTAAAATATATATTTTTAAGTAGAATAATTCCCAGACAAAATTGTGTGACAGGCAACTTTGATCTATTTTAGATCACGGTATCTTGTTGCCATCCTCTCATCCCCTGGGTACCTTAGCCTTTTAGTCTCCATCTTATTGAGAGCAAAGCAACTGATTTACATTTCAAGTATTTTATTGTGAATTTACCCTGAAAAATAGACTTGTTAGGTCCCACATTTCTACAAAAATTATTGAAAACCCTGGGGGCAGACATAAGAACGCTTGCCTACCATGGAGTCCGGTACAAGTGCAATGGAGGATGGGACTGAGGACAATTGTAAGGCGAAGGTGACATTTGACCTTGATGTGGTATAAAAATGAGATCCAAAAGGCAGCGGAGGGATGTCCAGGGCAACACAGGCTGAGATCACCAGATTTAAGGAAAACAGGAGTGAACATTCACAACAAATGTTGGAATATGGGAGGTGGGAAAGCGAGGGAGAGTCAGGGCTGGATGAGGAGAATCTTGCCATTTCCAGTAAAGAATTTGGGTGTTGTCTTATAGAGCCCCGGAAACTTTGATGATTTGTTTCAGGCATAATCCCCTTCCCAAAGGATGTGATGAAAAGACACCCAGAGAAATGGATCCCTAGCCACTGAAGAACAGTAGCAGTCTCACAGGACGTCTCTTTTATTTAGCAATTAACTTCAAATCAGAATAAATATCATAGTATCTATTTGTAAACACTGATCTTATGATAAGAGCACCCAAGGAGTGATCTGGGAAAAAAAAATGCTCCAGAACTTCAGGAACCTCCTTTTCAACCTCAAGGTGCATGTTTAAGGCTTCTGGTCACCAATTAAATGAAGAGAAAGGTGAAGACTTTACAGGAAGGAAAAAATGAAGCACTTAAGGAAGCGATATCAAAGGGTACAATCATATCTTACTAAGGACATAGAGGAAAAATAAAGCAAAGATTAGTAGAACTGCTTCTGAATTTCCCTCCGGTGATCAGGTAAGTAGTACAAAATTGAAAAGCAAATAGGAATAAAATGCCTGTGCTATTGTAATTATGTTTAGGCAGCATAAGAAATTTTATGAAATGGCAATCTCCTTTGATACACAGGAGAACTATAAGGGGCATAAGTAATACAATCCTCCCTCTGTTTCCTCTGTCAGTTTTGACCTAATCCAGCAAGAAATGCTGAGCCATTTTCCGCCTCTTGCGTACAAGTATCAGTTAAGGGAAAACAGGGTGACTATCTTAGGGCACTGGATGATGAAATGTCACTTAAGGAGAAAACATTGGCTGTACAACAAGTGGCTCAGCAGCCACAGTGTTAGGAAACACTGACAAAACAAGCAGTCTCAGACACTCTCTGGACGGGACCCGTTCTCTGATCTTTGCTGGAAGAGTACCAAGGGCAAAAAGTACATTTCAACCCGTGATTGCTCGTTTCCTGGGATTTCATGTTCCATAGCATTGGCTTCCTAAAGGATGTGACTCAGTTGCAAAGCTCTTTCATCAAGCCGATTAAATCTAATCATGCAATGATTTCAGTACACCAGGATACCTCTATCTCTACCTTGGCCAGCCCAGGTTAAAATATGGGGAAGCTGCATACTGCATAATTAGTGATTGACAGTAATTAACAGGAGCCAGTAATTGACAGTAGTCAAATAGGGCTGACATTTGTTTTATTTAGCAAATTTGTTATTGTATCCGATTAGTCTTTCCCTAATGCTCCTGTCTTCAAAATCTGGATTGATTGGATAGGATTTCAGTGCCAAGGGGACATGTCTGAAAATGAGACAGTAATGCCATAGTCCATTGTCGTGACAATGTCACCATTAAATTAAAATATTTCAGTATGTTTCCTTTAATGCATTTAAAAATCAGTTTCTCACTCAGTTGTGTATGCACAAAATACATTTTAAATAGTGTGTGTGTGTGTGTGTGTGTGTGTGTGCCCGTGCTTGTGTATAAATCACAACGGATTGTCACAAACTGAACACACTCGTGTAACCACACCCAAACTGAGAAACTCGACAGTCTCAGCATTCCAGGAGCCCCTGAAGCTCCCTTCCAGTCACTCTCCACCCACCCCACTAAAAATAATCACTATTCTGTCTTCTTAGTTTTGCCTGTTTTTAAAATTAATCTAAATGGAAAACCTAGAGTATGTACTTTTTATTGCTGAGCTTATTTCATTCCAACGTTTATTTGTGTGGCTGATTGCTATGTAATATTCTTCTGTGAAGTGCTTATAAAAAACTTTTGTTAGTTCTTTTAGGTTCTTTGTCCTTTTCCTGATTTGTAGAGGTTATTTTTATATTCTGGATACAAGCCATTTTTTAAATATATATGTCACAGTAATGATCGTTTCCCACTTGTGGGTTACTTTTTACTCAATGGAATCTTTTCATCAATAGACATTCTTAATTTTAGTATAGTCCACTTTATCATTTATTTCCTTTTAGGATTAGTGATTTTTTTTTTGTCCTCTTAAGAAATCCTTGCCTGATCCAAGACCACAAAGACTATTCCTGTATTTTCCTCTAAAAAGATTTGTTGTTTCAACTTTTATTTTTATAAATGTGATTCTGGGGCACCTGGGTGGCTCAGTTCATTAAGCGCCTGCCTTTGGCTCAGGTCATGATCCCAGGGTCCTGGGATCGAGCCCCGCATTGGGCTCCCTGCTCAGCGGGAAGCCTGCTTCTCCCTCTCCCACTCCCCCTGCTTGTGTTCCCTCTCTCGCTGTCTCTCTCTCTGTGAAATAAATAAATAAAATCTTAAAAAAAAAAGAAATGTGATTCTTCTGGAAATAATTTCTGTGTTTGCTGTGAGATAAGGGTATCTTTTATAGAGATAATTCATATATATTTCTCATATATATATATTTCTTTTAATTAGAAAGACCTGTCATCTCTCATGGTTTACTGAGGTGAGAAAGGACCAGGATCTGCCTCTTCATCTGAAGTGAACAGATACTGGAGAGCTCTCCTATCCACAAACATTGACAAGAGGGGCAGTTGTGTCCAACAATCACATATATCAAGAAACACTGGCAATTGGAGATCCAAGTTGAATAGAAAGATTTATCAGACAGGTGGGAAAAAACAACCACTGGTAACTGGAGAAGGTGAATACTCAAGTTCAGATTTGCAGACTGTTATCAACTAGGAGGTTTGCTATTAAGTGTCAGAGTTCTGATGACTGGGTATTTGTTCAGACCTATCTCAATTATCCAGAAGGGGGACTGGCAGTAGAGAAGTAGGACCTCAATCTTAGCAAGAGAATGAGTCCATGAATGACCAGGTTACCAGCAGAAGTTGTGGTTGAAGACAAAGCAAATGTCTCATGAGAAACGGCATGACTTGCCGAAGGACTGCGACTGGTAAGTAAGGGGAAACACACCCGATGTATGCATCACAAGTGCAGACCAAAGCCATGATCACTTGTTATAGTTTAATATTGAACTCACCAAACTAGTGAGGAGTAAGAAAGCTATAGAGCGGTGATTCTCAAGTGTCAATATGAGAAGCTTCATAAACACGCAGATTGTACTACTCTCTCGTCCAGCAACACTGAAGAGGGGCCCGAGAAACTAAATGTTTGGCCTTCACCCCGGTGACTGAGATGCACACTGAACTTTGCTGACAAACAGATCTCTAGAATTACATAAAACTCTTCTTTTTTAATTTTATATCTGTGTTGTTCTAAAATTATTACTAATTACTATAGTATCTTCCTATTTTTAAATCCCATTGCTACTCGGTTCATATTTGCTAATATTGTTTCGATTAAGTTTTCTGGGAATGAATTTCACTTTGGAATTTGGTGGTGATTGGGGAAGTGACATTGATCATAGTTGGGAAAAGTGAGAGGAGAAGTGACTACATGGCTAAGTAGATAGATACGGAAAAATCAATTATTTTATGTAAAGGAAAAACCCAACAGGATCATACTACAGGCAATCTGGGTCTATTGTGAGTGTTTCAGCATGAGTGCTTTTTTTTTTTTTTAATGTTTATATCATGAATTTGGTAAGTGTGAGTACAACAACATCAATTTAAACATTTGGAAAACAGTTCTCTTGCTTGTAAAACATCAAAGGATGTTTGGTGTGAGAACAAACAAATTCCGCAAAACGTTGTTTTCACTCGAACTTAATCTGAAATCTTTGGGCAGTGAGGCTTCCTTTCATGAAGGCAAGAATATCAAAATGGCAAAAAATATTTACTAGTTCACATTATTTAAATTGAAAGTTTTTGGCTGAGTTTTTAAATTCTTGCCTTTGAATATCCTTTAATATGCCAAGTGTATTTATTATGTAAAATGTATCTTTTTCTTTTTAGGCTGAAAAGACTCTTTTGATGCCTTATCTCCTGAAGAACTTCAGGTGTGTTATCAGGAATCTCCATCCAGGAGTTGTTTGGGGGCTAGATCCCCGATTTAAACAAGGGGTGCTTCTCTTTCCTCAAAGTGGAATTCAAGGGCCTCACCGCAGGAGGTAGGAGGTGGGGGAGCTGGTTAGATATACTATCTATCCCACTAGGTTCCAGTTAATTGAGTGTTACTATAATTTGAAGTAGTATAGCCAAATGCCTATCTTAATTTAGGCTCCTCACAAAGCAAAATACAGAATTTGGGCTTGGCAGCATTGAAGTCAAAAGGAAATGCATAAAATATCTAGAATTTTAAAATGGCTATCAGGATTATCTATTTTATTTAAAAAGTATTCAACAGTTTTTTTTTTTTCCTTCTGTCCTCCCTTTATTCACTTACATTCTTTGTCCTAACTACTTCTGAGACTTAGTGATGCGGATCTATTCACAGACACCTTACATGATGAAATGAGTTATACAGCCACACCCATCCTACATTTCCTCATCTAGCACCCTGTGGATTTCACATGTGCATGTGTGTGCATGTGTTTAAACTGTTGTTACGATTATCTTCACCCCCTAAGGTATAAAATCTCTTTGATCTCCCCTAAAACAATGCACCCATGCAAGTGTACATGTTCTGGTCCATATCTTATATCATGTGACTTTGAAAATACCAGGCAAATTAAGGATGACTCTATTTGTTATTGCTTAGAAAGGTTAACCTTTGGAGACATCTTTTAATGGTTAAAAAATGCTTTGAGGAACATGAGCAATAGAACAACATCAGTTCTTTCAAGTTAGGAAAAGGAACGCACTCATGAAAGTTAGACAAGCAAAACAAGGGCCTCAATGAAAAATCCATACAAAAATGGATGGTGTTTTCATAGAATAATCTAATGTGCTAGTCTCTGAGCCTTTATTAAGATTTATTCTATATATGGAAGTTATCTGGAGGAGTCTAGTTCTTTCTAATCATGACACTCTGCTCCTGCTTTCTTAGGAGCAGCTATAAATTCAAGAAGAGGTGGAAAACCGGCAGACTGCCAACCAAATTCAACCCACAGACATATGTTGTTGGGCCTGAACAATGTTTTAAATGTTTTGAATCAGTTTCCAATTGAAAATCAGGATTTGTACTCAAAAAGAAAAAAACAGGTGCGGATCTGTGTGTCTTCCCTTGAAAAATCAGAAGATGTAGAAAACTGGTCAAGGATGTATAACAGTTTGCTGGGGGTGGGCAGCTTCTACATCCTGTAAACAGGGCAAGTTCTCTCTGTTCCGGAGGTTCTCTCCCATAGATATCCTGACTGGTCTGTGGGCCTCTGTGGTGCCAGTCACCTCCGGGGGTATTGCTCCTCTGATGTTCGCATACAGCTCTTTCTGCTGCATGCTGAATCGGTATCATTTTCTATATTTTATTATTTTTCAGTCCAAGCCGGTAGAATTAGAAGTGGAGAACAAAACCAAGAGACTGTATCTGTACCACTGGTTTAGAAAGAGGTTCCTCAGAGATGAATATTACCTCATTTATTTGTATAGCTTTTTCAGCATCATCTCACATTATCAAGAGTAGGATACTGTGCTAGGTTCCTTGCTATTGCTTTTCTCCCCTCCCTGCTCTGACCTCCTTTATTGTTCCTATTACATTTTGGCAGATGATTATATCCGGACTTCTATTGTTTTCTGTTCTCTATTTGAGTTGTGTGTCTCTTCCGACCAAATTGGCTGTGGGTTCTTTAACATCAGACACTGTATTTGTCAGCATTGCTCTGTACTGTATGGAGAGCATTACAAGCATCTGGCATCTGCCTGAAATTCCCTGCCTTTAAGTCCCCCAGGACCATGAGCATCTCCAACAAATTCAGGTTGGCCACCATATTAGAATGATTGGGATTCCCAATCCCAAGCGTCACTGGATTCTTTTTGTTTGTTTGTTTTATTTTCCTACTTCCCCACATCAAAAGATGCCAAATGGACCTAGGGTACAGTGCACCACGGTCAGGGGAAGTCAGAACAATCACTGTATCTCGCCTTCCCCACCTTCCCAGCCTCAAATCCTACTGTCTACCCATCTGCTGTGCTGACCAGTCTCTAGTCCTCCTTTCAAGCTGATTTCTCACTCTGAAACTATGGCCCACTTGCTAATCCCCCTTCTTAGAGCTAGACTTCTGGCCTGTAGGATATAGAGCCAGTTCTCCAAGGACAACACCACTGCCACTGAGTATTTGGTCCGTCACTTCCCACGGCCACACCTGCTTTCATTAATCCACTGTCCTCACACTGACTGCTTTCAGAATTTGGACTGAGATCGATGGAGTCATTCAACCTCCGTACATAGTATCCTGAGCAGGATTCCCCAGGGAGAAAACAAAACAAAACAGTTCTCATTCTTCTCTAACTGGATCAGCAACCTAGACCCTGGACCTTCTAATTTTCTTTCTTATTTTTCCTTTCCAGAATCACTTTGCTAGGAGTCCAGCATATCTGCCTCATGAACCATTTATGTCACCGCCTTACCACCCTAGGAAAAATTAGATATAAAATAAAAATAGATGAGGAAAATTCTACTTTTTTCCTCTCTCCTTATTTGTAGTTTTTCTTTGCTTCATTTTAATTTCAAGTCCAAGAGTCAATGGTTCTCTAACACTTTTTAAATTGTTCTATGTGGGGACACCTAAGTGGTTCAGTTGGTAAAGCGTCTGCCTTAGGCTCAGGTCATGAACCCTGGCGTCCTGGGATTGAGCCCCGCATCAGGCTGCCCCTGCTCAGCAGGGAGCCTGCTTCTCTCTCTTTGCCTGCCGTGCTCCCTCTGTTTGTGTTCTCTGTCTCTTTCTCTCTGACAAATAGGTAAATAAAATCTTTAAAAAATAAAAATAAATAAATAAATTGTTCTGTGTGGGCAACCCTCTGAGGTCCCCTCCGTCTTTGGGAGCTTTGTACTATTGCCCAATAAACTTTGCTGCTTAAATAAATAAATAAATAAATAAATAAATTGCTCTGTGTGATGGATTAATTCTTCAAAATTAAAGGGTATTTTCAGTGAAGACACATTTTGAGCTGCTTGAAAGAAAATTTCCATATCAACCAAAAATTGGGAAATAAACAAGGAAAGAGTCTTCTTTCTTCTCTTCCACATGGCTATACTATATTCCCCCACACAGCTGTATTGAGGAAATGAAACTAATGGCAAGAAATTGCTCTTGATGAGTTTCGTAATGTTATCACAATACTTAGAATTGAAATAAACCAGAATTATCCTGCCATGATTTTTATATCATAATGAAGGAAAAATATGGTCACCATTTGATTCTAGACAACCTGATAAAACCATTACTACTACAGCTACTATTCACACTACATTTAACCTTTTTAAAGCAATTATTTTGTACCACAAGCTAGGCAAAGTTCTTTATGTAGGTTATTTTCTTTTTTATCTTGTGAGGAAACTCCCCATTTTATAGATGAGGGAACTCAGTCTTCAAGAGATTAAGTAACTTGCACAAAATACCATAGATGATATGTAGCAAGTGGTGAAGCCCAGAGATTTCAGACAGGCACCAAATGCCAGGTTGTAGGACCATTCATTCTCCTCTCTCCATCCAATCAATTGACCAAATTCTGTTCCAGAACTTTTTTTATTCCTTACAGTGATAATAAAATATTAAGAGCACAGGCTCAGAAATCATGAAACACTTAGGAAAAATGTTCTTGACATGTCCGGAAACAATTCAATTTTTCTATATTTCATTGTCTTCTATCAAATCTATGAAAAGCTCTTGTTTTTCTTACTAACTTGCTGAATGATCACATAAAATAATGTATGTAAAACCACTTTTAAAACTCTAAATAGAATATAAATAGTTAATAGATATTCTTATTTGTGTTAATTAACTTGAACAGAACCATCACCCTGATGACATAAAGTGAATCTGAAATAGGCAAAGTGAAGGAGTAAGAGAAACAGGAGAATGAAAGCAAGTAAGACCCTTTTGGCCATAGTCTAGACAAGACTTAATGGATGACCAAGTTAGTAACTGTGACGATAAGTGAAATGGAGAGAAGGAAATGGATGCCCCTAAAACATGGCAACTGATTGGATGTATGGAATAAGCAGTATCCAGGAGTCCATAGAGATTCCAAGCTTACTTGTATAGGTGACTTCAGGAATAGGGACACCTTAACTGAAGTTAGCAGGAGAAAGAGAAGGATTCTGTGGGGAGATTAGGGGCTAACTTGAGACATAATCCGTTTGAACTACTGTTGGGATTCCATGGAATGGCATCAAGTGACAACTGAAAATGAGGAACAATATTGGGAGAAAAGCCAAGAGCAAAGATAGAAATTTAAGGACTATATTTGAGGAAGTTTATTTATTTATTTATTTTCATTCATTCATTCATTCATTTAATTTCAGGCCAGGTAACTAGAAAAAATTTAAATGTTCTGGCGACCATATTACAGGAGAAAAACGAAGTGGGTGACATTAACTTTAAAAATATATTTTATTTAATTCAATATGTTAAAATTTTGTAATTTCAGCATATAATCAATGTAAAACTATTAACATTCTTTTTATTTGTACTACGTCTTCAAAATCTGGTTATTTTATACTCAATTTAGACAAGGCACATTTCAAATACTGAATAACCATTTGTGGCCAGTTGCTTTCATAATCGACAGCAGGGTCTAAGAAAGTATTTGGGGGATTTGCGGGCTGAGAGACATAGGTTTACAGGAAAAAGAAAAGAGAAATAGAAAAGGCACCTGCAGTATGACAGAAATGGAGACGAAAAATGTTTTCTTCCTCACATGTTGTATAACATTTCTACAGAAGGCAATATATGCAGCAAACAAGAAAAAGGTCTTCCACAGATGGTATCGTTTTAGACAGCAAACAAAGCAGGATCCTTTTAGACACTTTCAGACTTTAGGGCCTCACGAATGAAGTCCAGCATTGCTTAACTGCTGACACTTAAATGGCTTAGAAATAGTTAGCATGGCATAGTGAAAATAACATGGATTTTGTCTACTCATGGATTTAACCCAGATATGCCTCTAAATCATGACACACTGTATCAGATAGCTCTGTAAATTTGGGCACTTAGCCACTTACCTTTAACTTCTTTATCTTTAAAATGGGAGTACTAACTTCTTGACATGATTTTTGTGGCTATCAGATACTATTAGGTAGGCAAAACACCTAATATATAACATGCATTATACATAATACCGTAATCATAGCTATGATGCTCATTATTAACAATGCCACTCTAATTTATATTGATGAATGTCTCACGTTAATGTAAGCATCTTGAGAATGAGAAAACACTGTCTATATTTTGTAACACCATAGTGCCTACCACAGTGTTGGAGACACCACTAGGGTAATCAACACTCATTTTTCTCCTGTATTCCACTTAAGACAACCATCCTGGTATGAATAGGTAACAGTACATGGAAGCTCAGATTACTTGATTTCCTAGTGCCTTTAGCAGAACGATAAATAAGAGTTCCATTGCTCAGACTCTAGCCCTTCCATTCTAATATAAAATTAACTAATGCCAAAAGATAAATTAGCAGAAACAAAATTTCCCTTGACTCAGCACCCAAATTCCTGAGCATTCTACCTTTCAGAGCTCCTTTAAACAGAGATATCATTTAACTCTAAGTTCAGCATTACACCAGTAGAGACTAGAAAATGTTCTCTACATTTTTAAGAAATTAATTTAAAGTAAACATAAAAGTAATGGTTTTAGTAAAATAGCTTAAAATTTAAATGCTTAAAGATGATTGGTGTTTTCCTTCAGTTTATGGCAATATGTTTTCAGATGGTGGATCATTTCTTCTGAGTTTCAGAAAGGCACTGTAGTATATAATGAATCCAAGCTTTCTTTTTTATTATTATTATGTTCAGCTAGCCACTGTATAGTACATCATTAGTTTTTGATGTAGTGAATCCAGCCTTTCAATCCAACATTTCATCACTGCGAGGTTACTCAAAACATACCCGTCATGTGTCATTTGTTTAAAATATGTTTCCAGCTTTTCCCCCTAAATTTATCCTATTTTTTTCAGACCCAGGGAAGCCACAAATCTCCAGAAAGCCTTTTCTGACTCTACAGTCCAGAGTCAACTTTTATATCATTTATTCTTTCACTAATCAAATATTCACTGAGTGTTTTTCATATGCTTACCATGTTCTACTCTCTAGATATTCAGTAGCAAATAGACAAGGTCAATATGCTCATAGATGATTCAGTCTAAGTTGAAAATAGCCACTAAGCAAGTGGACAAAAAAATAATAATAATTCCCTACATCCAAAATGCTGTTTAGAAAAATGAAAGCAAAGTAATGAGAAAGAGAGGGCCTTACAAGTCATAAAAGGAGACTGAATTAATTTGAAATATAATAGAAAGTCATTTAGAATTTTTTTTTTACTGGGAAAGTTGTAGGATTAAATCTTAAGAAGTCACTCTGGCTACTTCTTGGGAGATAACTATGGTATGAAAAATAGAAGCAGGGAGATGAGTCAAGAAGATTCTGTATTATCAGCGGTAGAAGTGGTAATAAGTAACTGAATTTGGGATATTTCAATATACATTTTACCCCTTGCTTAATGTCTAATTCATTCTTCCTAAGAGAAAAGCTGTTAAATAAAATCCCAAGATATACAACCAACATTTACAAATACAAAAATATATGAATAGATAAAATAAATCTGCTTACATAATAGCAATAATTTGATAAAAAACAAAGTGTATATAAGATGTAATATAGAAATGTTTCTTTTATTTATTAAATTTCATTTTTTTCTGCATCATTTCCTCTACCAATGTTTTCAATGTTTGTGAGACTTATGTTTTTCTTGCCCACAGAGTGTACTTAATAATCAATTATAGCACAGAAAAACATCTTTAGGGTCACAAAAAAACCTATATGGAAGGTTCTAGAAGTTGCCACCTCTTCAACCTTCTTGAGTTCATTCAAACATGTGCAAACCAAAATTGCTCCATATGTTTTGTATGATTTTTTTCTTACTTGAAAGTAGAAAGTGAATCAGGGAGTGCAGTTTTATCAAAAATTTGATGTTACTACATGCCACAAATTGTAGTGTATTCATTTAGCAGGTTTTTTTTTTTTGAGGAAAAGTCATTACACCAACCAACAAACAAAAAATTAACAAAAAATAATGAACCATTAGTTTGAAAAAAATACATAACTTTTCAAGAGCCACTATTGAGAAAAGTTAAGTAAACAGGATAATGAGATCTAAGTCAGTATTTTGCAGGCTCTGCTTATTGCTGATGAATTGAATGTGGTTTGGGGTAGGAAATGTGTGGGTAAGAGTATAACTGATGTTAATTCTAGTTTATTGTCCTCAACAGATAGATGAATGGTGGTGCCATTAACTGAGATGGATGAAAATAAGGAAGAAACAAGTTGGGTTGGGGGCAAGCAGGGAGTAAGTAAGAGGTTAGTTTTGAACATACTTACTTTGATAACTCGATGAGACATTCAAGTGAAGATGATGAGTAGCCAGTTGCACTTATAATGCTAAGAAAAAGTTCCAATCTTGAGATCTAACTAGAATACAGATCATATTTAAACTCATGGCACTGCAAGACATTTGCCTAGGAATAAACTTAGAAGACAAGAGCTAGGGCTAAAAAAGATAGAAATCTGAAGACTGAGTGCAAGGCATTCCAATATTTAGAGTTGAATGATGAAGAAGATTTATCAAAGAAGACAGAGAA